ATAAAGAGAAAAGGATGCTGGGGGTGTTCCTTTCTTGCATCTTCTTTGCAGGGTCAGCAAAACAGTAACACACCAGCACCCCACTCAGCTCTAATTTTTTTTTAATTTAACTTTTCTTATTTTTGACATAGGAGTAAATGAATATACCAGAAAAGCAAATCCTCAAGATATGTGGGTGGCAAACAGAGTCTGAGCCCGTGCCATTAGCATTTATTTTAAATTGGACCCAGTCTCTGCAAAGTTACCAGGAATCTCTCCTATTTGTGCCCTTTTCTGACCACCCACTCCTGTTGGTTACACTAATTTTATCCATATGATAGCTGGAACCAACTTACGACTGTTTGATAATTGACACTTTGGATTATCCCGTAATACCTTCTTAAATGTCTGTATATTCCAGTGCTCTGGATCAGTATCTAGGAATCATTGGCAACACTGCATGAGGTTGTTTTGTTTCGTTTCGTTTTGTTTTTTTACTAATTAATCTTTAAAAGGAGGCAGAGTTTCCCTCCTTTATTTAACTATCCTATTGATATTCCTCTCTCCCTCCACAACTCAAATCAGAGGGGGGGGGGGGGTTCAGCTGTATTACCAAATCAGGAAGATGTAAGGTTTACAGATTGGCTAAAAAATCATGGCTCTCTAGCCATTTCAGAACCAGAATAATTTCAATGCTGTTAGTCTGCTTGTGTGACAGCATTCCAGCCCACCCAGGTGGTGCTGCCTTGTCTGGAGATTTTGTTAATCTTGAAGGACACACACTTCCACGCTGTTTGTGAGCCCTCCCACCTCCACCACTTTAATAGTTGTAAATCAAGTGTGTGGATCTCAAAGGGTGCAATTTATCTTTATACAAGAATACATTTCTATGGCTTCCTTCAACCTGCCCTCTTCACCCTATTTTTTCTTATCTTAAATTGAGAGAAGGAAGAATTAATCTTATACTCTATCAAAATATTTTCTACCATACTTCCAGATGACATCTGCAGTTGAAGAGTCAAAGGAATCTGTGTCTAATATCCTGTTTTGCACTACGGTGGGGGACAGGATGGAAAGGATGATGAGGCTTGCCACACAGCTGATTGGCGTTTTCTTTCACATGATTCATCCCTCCTCATTGTGGCAAGGAGTTTTCTTTCTCATTTTCTTCCTCCTTTGGGATCATTGTGTATGAAAAGAAACACTTTAGGCGACAAACCCAGACTCCAGGTGCCTTGTAGAGGTCGAAGGCTAGCCAGGACCGCCGCCGCTGCTGCCGCCACCCCTTCCACTGGCATGTTGGAATGAAAGGGCGCATGTCCCCCCTTCCCTCCCCCCAGTCGTTCAGCCCCTCCCCTCATTTATTTTTGTTAAGTTAATGTGAATTATTTTTAAATCATTTATCCTGTTTGTGTGCAGGGTTTTTAAGAAGAAACAGCACAGTGCAATGAGCAAATCCTTTCAGGGTGTGTGGGAGGCAAGGGAGGGAAGATGTGGAGAAAAGTCCTTTACACAAATAGCAAAATACTGAACATGTGTAAAATCCTGTATCATTTATGAAATATGTATAAAAAGCAATGTACCTTCTGGAACAATAAATACTTATTCAATTTTTGAACTATAGCATCTTATTCTTTAAAGCAAAACCAAGAAAACAAAACCTTATTTTCCTGTAATTCTAGGTGGAGAAGCGTCTACTTCTAAAATTAATTTTTATAAAACTACTATTTTGAAACTAAATTTGGTTACTAGAGCCCGTATTTTAAAAACAGGCATTTCATTCATGCCTCCTGAATCTAAAATGGTCAGTATTTTCCTAATTTTCCAGAGCTACCAGAGGTTAAGTGACTTCTACAGCCGTAATAAAGCCAATGGCAAGACTGAGACCAATATCCTTATCTCCTGACTACCAGGAAAATTTTCTATTGTATCAGACCACCAGATTGCCCAGTGTGGTCTTCTGGACTTCCGAAAGTTGTTCAAGAATGAACCAAGATTAAATATTCGTTATTTTAAGAGTTTGTATGATCACCAAACAGGAAAATATCACATGCTACCTAATCCATTGATGGCCTATCAAAAATCATATGTTAAACGTTAAATGTCTGACTGTATTTAGTGCAGTGTGAGATGTACTGAGAGCAGACATCCCTGAGACTGAAGTAAGGTAGAAGAAAATAAGATTGAAAACGTTAAGCCACTGTTTGGTTTCAGCAAATAATGTCTACACATTCCACGACATTGTTAGGCTTCAGTGAATTTTCAGTGGAGATAGATAATAGAGAGTTAAATCCATTAGTGAGTGTAGATAATGCAGTTTTGCTAAGGGATAATAGGCTTTTAGAGATGGAAAAAGTAAAAGGGTTCTCACGGTATGATTGCTGGAGCAGCAACCTGGTATGTCCTTGTTAAAAATGCAATTTCTCTGATCCCCACTGAATCAGAAACTAGGCACTGGGCCAGCAATCTGTGTGTAATAAGCTCTTCTGGTGATTCCGATGGGAACCGTTGGTCTAGTCAGCCCAGTGCTTTAAAGAGAAGGAAACAGGCACAGAGAAGACGTCTATGTCCCAACCCATCAGTGCATTCCTGTGACCAAACAACCAGACCGAGTAACGGAGAATTGGCGAGTGTGGTGAATATGGTAAATGGAAACAATAGAGCTCATGTCACCTGTACTGCTGTATCTTGCTTCTCAAGGGTTGTGGTGAGGACATAGTAGATGCTTACAAAAACAAATAGGTTGAATTTTTAAAATCAATCTAGAGAGATTTCACAGAAAAGTGGAATTTCTTGGATTCTGGAACTCAGTTTCACCAAAACTGTTGAGAATTGTAATTCATTTTTATCACTGCCAACGATCTTTAGTTTGTTGCTCTCCCAAGTAAGTACAAACTTGTTCTCTTCCAGAATGCACTACATAGTTACATCCTTAGGATAAATGTATAGGCTAATTTGTAATGAATTCTACTGAATATAAAATGACCCACTATATAAATTTTCATTTGCATATGTTTTATAAATTCATCATCCACTGAGCAATCCCTCCTCAAAAATATCTTCTGCTCCTGTGACTCGACTCTTGAGTTTCCTTCTTTAAATCTCTGACTACTTCTTGGCCTCGTTTGCAGTGTCCCCTTCCTCTGCCCACATCTGATGTTCGGCTTCTCTGGGATTCCATCTTGGGCCCCATTTTCCATAGATGATCTCACTCACTCCCCTCCCCCATTTGTAAGCTGGTAGCTCTCAGATTGTTAGGTAAACTCCGATCTCTCCCGAACAGCAGAATGGTTCATCTGCCTCCTAACTGATCTATTTCCTGCATTCCTCCAGTGCATTAAATTCCTTCAGTGTCACCAGAATATTTTTGTTTTTTAATTTCTAACAGCACGTACTTTAGAAAAATAAGAAAATATGAACAAGAATTAACATTAAATATGGGAAAGGAGACGCTATAAAACACCACAAGGAGCAGTCAAAGCAATCTAGAACGTGAGACATTCTATAGGACAAATGACTGGCTTTCCTCAACAAATGGTGCAAGCATTGAGGAAAAGGGAGGGACCATTCTAGATTAAGAGAATTTAAGAGCTATAACTCTATGCAATGTATGGCTCTTGTTTGAATCCTGACTTCAAACTAGCCATGCAAATTTTGAAACAGTTGGGGGAATTTTAATATGAAATGACTATTAGTACTAAGTTTTCATAGTAGTAAGAATGACATTACAGTTATGTAAAAAAGGCCATATGTTAGAAATGCATCTTGGTATATAAATAAGATTGACAAAATATTAGTAATTGCAGCTGGGTATTATTCTTTCTACTTTTGTATACATTTGAAATTTTTCATCATAAAAAATTAAAATGAAATGGCAGGTCAACTAAAAAGGAAAAAATAGGAATAAGAAAAAAAAAGTCCTACCATCCTGGGAATGCTTGTTTACAGAACCAGAGGGCTATCTGGTAAAAGTCCTTGACTCTGGCCATCAATCCTGGCAGCAAATCTGAGTTTATCTCACGCACACGTCCTCTGTTTCTCTGCAACACATATGAAGCACTCAGATGGTCTCTCAGGGACAGGAAACTGCAGGGTTTTGTTTTCTCTGTTAAGAGCACCAACTCCTTAACTGCAATGAGACGGTTCCTCAGTCCCAGATGCATCCATTGCTGCCATCAAATTGCAACTTAATAAGCTAAAAATGGTCAGATCGCCTGTGTTCTGCTATCATCTGCTAGTGATAAAGTAGCTAACTATAAATTTAGATCAACAGAAACCCCTTGCTAGAGCTTTCCACTCTAGAGCACTGTAAACTCTGTACTTGCAGGAACACTTTTACCTTTAGTCACTGTCAAAGACCAGAGACAGCATGGCACTTGGCCCCTAGTAAGCACTAATATTTAATTGAACTGAAACCCTTAGAGGAAAGGGGCCACCCCAATTTGGATGCCACTTAGCATAGGAAAAAAATGTGACAAGAGATTAAGAAGACACATTTGTGAACTACTTCCTAATACAAATATCCCTTCCCTAGTCACTAGAAATGTGGCTATAGGACAAGAAATATAAATAGTGTACGAATGATAGAAGCCCAAAGCATCAGATCAAGGTGGTAAGAGTAGGAAACTTTGATATCATTCAGATCCTGGTTTAATATAGTATTTAAAAACACAATCTTTCGGGGGACCTGGCTGGTTCAGTTAGTAGAGCATGCAACTCTTGATCTCAGGGTCATGAGTTCAAGCCCCATGTTGGGCATGAAACCGACTTAAAAAAAAAAACAAACAAAAAAACGCTGGCTTAGTCAGTTAAGTGTCAGACTTGATTTCAGCTCAAGTCCTGATCTCATGATTCATGAAATTGAGCCCCGCGTTGGGCTCAGCGCTGACAGCACAAAGCCTGCTTGGGATTCTCTTTCTCCCTCTCTCTCTGCCCCTCCCCCCCTGCCAAATAAATAAATAAACATTGTTTTAAATGGTAAAAAAATAAAATAAAATAAAAACTTGTCCTCTACCCTTCTCTTTCTCCTCCCTTTACCTTATCTCCCGTACTAGTGCTTGCCAAGTCCCAGGTGTCCACACACTGTAGAATGTCAGGGAGCTGGCAGACTCTGGACCTGTAATTACCAAAGGTTGTCTGGGGACACATAATATGCAGGTCCCTTCATTTTGCCTCTTTTGTCTAAAAATGAAATTCTAGTAAGCGTCACTTTCGGTGTTGTTACTTTTAATGAGTGAGTCATTCCGAATTTGAAGCCTCTACCTCTTCGTGTGAGAATTAGTAAAATAAGGAACCCTAAACCATTTTAATTTGGAACAGAAAGACACTATGAAAACTGAGGTGTTGCTGCTGGAATTGGTAAAAACACAACTTAAACCTTCTTTTTAGGAAGTTTTGAGACCAAAGACCATAATAAAGCACACTTAGGAGCTTGCTTCAAGAGAATGTTGTCCCTAATCCACACGTCTCCTTACTACTTTTTAGTGTGCCTTTATAAACTCCTTCACCATCTGACCAAGACATTTCCTAATGACCAGGGCCAACAATTTGGCTTTATCCCATTCTCATTTCATAAGCAATGAATGGCACGGCTGCAACACCATGAAATTAATTCCTAGAAGTCACAAAACAAGATTTTGACACAAGGGGATGTCCCTCACTTAGGTTCCCTTCTGGATAAGATACCGGAGGCCTTGGTGCAGGGAATTCTTGAGAGAAAACAATAGGAGGATGAGGGATTGTGACGGGCTTTCTCCCCCACTGAAGAAAAACATCAATAACCCTGTTGACAGCGTAAAGCAGTGCTTCTATCTGGGGTCAAGGCCAGAACAATGGACACCTTATCCCACTCATCCTCTTCCTCTGATAAAGCCCCAACCAGTACTGTTAAGTCTTTTTTCGTAAGAGCCTAGTGACCTTTTTCAAAAACTGCTTGAAAAAGAAGAGACGAAGGACAACTGGAATTAAGAGGATTTCCAGTCTGTTGCGGTGGCTGGTCTAGAAGATGTCTCAATTCCTGCTTCTCACCTGCGTCTTTCTCACCATCACACCTGCATCACCAATGGGTGAGTCTTGTGTCACATACTTGGCACAACGCACTTTTTGATATCGGAATTTGCTATTATGAACAGATAATTAAGAACTAGGTTCCAATATCTTAAATACTGGTTCTAGAATAGTATAAGAAAATGTATGATAACCTATGATAGATACATTTTCAAAGAATTTCTGTTTCATGTTCCAGTTAGCCTCTTGCCCAGGCATCCAGAATTTCCATGGATTTGCCACAACCAACAGCTTTCCACAAGCTAAATATTTCTTGGAGTACATGTAAAAAGAATTCTAACTTCTTTATATTATAGGCACTTGTAGAATTCCAACTTTAAGAGCGAAAAAAAAAATAATCTTTAGAGTTGAGGATAGAGGGGTTTTTTTTTTGGTTGGTTGGTTGATTGGTTTTTTTGTTTTGTTTTGTTTTTAATGAATTCAAGGGACTGAATGAAAGCTCTATCCCCACGAAAGGCACAGATCTGGATAAATTGAACTTCTCAGTCTAGACATCTGTAAATAAGAACTTTTTGCATAGACTGAGTGAATCATAAACTCTCTCCCTTCTCAGGCTTGGCACAAGACTGGCCAACGAGGCAAAACAAAGTTTCAGTTCCAGTTACTAACACATTTCTCCTTTTTCCAATAGAATTTAAGTTCTAATTGGAAGAGAGAGTAAGAGGAGATCGAGATGGACAGAGCCATCCTGCTTGGCACTTTTGAGTAGCTCTGTTTAATTGACCCCGATTTATTTCTTCAGGGTAACTCAGGTCTTACTCTAGCACCTTTAAGGATGCACATTAAAAATAGGCTTGAGACCCCAAGGAGATGTGAAAATTAAGGTAATGTGGTATCCTGGATGGGATCCTAGAATAAAGACAAAGGCAAAAATTAAGGAAATCTAAACTATGGACTTGAGTTAATAATAATGTATCACCTTCGGATCATTAACTGTGGAAAAGGTACTGCAACTAATGTACAATGTTTCATAATAGGGGAAACTGGGCACAGAGTATATGGAAACTCTCTGTACTATTTTCTCAATTGTTCCCTAAATCTAATATTGTTCTTAAAAAATAGTCTATTAGAAAAAGATAGACTTGAGCTAGGTTTAATCACCCGTATCTTCTGCCAATAACTAACCAAGACTTGCCCCAGCAAAAGTAGCCTCCACCACCCGGAAGCTTCTGTTTGCCTTTCTTCCCATTCTTTACTGCTTACTCTCCAATACCTCTTGTTCCCACCCATCATACATCTTCTCTCTTCCCAGATCTTTTGGTTTTTTAAAATTTATTTATTGCAGCCCTTCTAGAACTTTGTCTCGATGCCAAAAGCGAGATAAATAAAGGGAGGCAAACCATGACAGTCTCTTAAAAACAGAGAACAAACTGAGGGTTGATGGGGGTGGAGGGTGGGATAAATGGGTGATGGGCTTTAAGGAGGGCACTTGTTGGGACGAGCACCGGCTTCTGTATGTAAGTGATGAATCACTGGGTTCTACTCCTAAAGCCAAGACTATACTGTATGTTAACTAACTTGAGAATTAAAAAGAATGAATGAATGAATGAATGAATGAATGAATGAATGAATGAATTAACGACTTTGGGAGCTGGGGAGCCCCGAGGGAGGGTCTTCCCCTATAGGAGAGGGGAAGTGAAAGAAAAAAAGGAGGGGAGGGAAAAGAGAGGAAGTGAGAGCGCAGGAAGTACAGGGGAAGAATAGGAACTGGGAGGACCGGAGACGGAAGGAAGGACACTGGGGGCGCCTGGACCCAGTCCTAGGGGTGGCATCCCCCCCACCTGGAGGGCTGGAGATGGAAGGGTGGGGACGCTGGCTGACTTTGCTCTCTGCACTTGGCCCCCGTGAGGTGCCAGCCCTGGGGACACACAAGCTTCCGTGCATCCCAGACGGGGGTCCGCGGATGGGGGACCTCAGGCAGGAATCCTGGCCAAGACGGAGGACTTTCCTGGCAGGGCTGGCCCGGGACTCAACTTTGCAAGGAACCGATGGAATTGTTCGTTTTGAAGGTCTCCCATTTAAGGAGTGTATACATCAGCAATTTAGGATGCAGCATGCATAATACTGAATGCCAGACTCCACACTGAGAGACTGAAAACAGGAATTCACACCAGTGGCCAGATTATTAAAGGATCTAAGGAGTGGAGAGGAATGGGTGTATTTAATGTTAGAAAATATTGCATGGGTAACTTAAAAATATATTTATTTTACAGAACATAGTCGGTAAATTTCCCCTATTTGTGCCATATGTTCCCTTCAATGAGGGGAAGTGAACTTTTAACAAATAACACCAAAAAATGACAGTTACATTTAAGGGAAAACTTTATAAATCATGAAATAGTTGTTGAGGGAGGTTTAGGAATTTCTGCAAAAGCCATTAAAAGTTGAGTACCTAACCATTTCTTATAAAATTGGAGCCAAGGAGATCAACCAAATATTTCTATGAATTTATAATCACCTGCAAAATTGCCCTGGAAACCTTGCTTCTTAAGAGAATCACAGCTGGGAGAGCAGATGAGGGAATTTTTCCCTTTTGAGAGAGGAGAGAGTCTGTATGAGGACATTTCCTGCCCTCAAGTGACATCGCATACGGTCTAAGGCGCAGCTGGAATATCTCAGGCACATTTTAAAAGAGAGAGAGAGAGGCTCCTGCCATGTGCAACTCTGCAAATGTGTTATTTCCAGAAAGTGCAATAGCCTTACTTCCTCTCGCAAAATTTCATATTCTCTTTGGGGCCATTAGCACTAGGCTACACCCTCCTCTACATGTGACTGAATTTAGAGAGAAAATTGGAGTTCAAAAGTAGACTTAGAAAATTCAAAATATTTTCTAGACAACTTAAACTTTATGATCATGGTCCATCCACAGTTAATTATTGTGCAGTATTTGCTAAAACTGAATTTCTGTCTACAAAGCGCATTGGTCTTAATGTGAATTCCCTGACTACAATGTCAGGTAAGTTGGCCTCATGTGCATTACAAAGGATAGTAGTACTCTCTGGCTGGTATTCCTTTCTAGAATTTCTTGGTTTTATAGATTCTTCATAAAGACAATTTGCCTATATTCATTCCATGTTTCCTTGAAGTTGAGGGAAGCAGTGACAATATAGAGGATATTGGTGTCTTGAGTCATTAAAATATTTTTGATGAGATGTTTGTCCATGTGATTTATGCACTACAAAGGCATGCTTGAGAAATTTGGCTGTAGGATGATGCCGTAGCTCATTGTTTATATACAAAAAGTTCCTATTTTCAATAAGTTTTCAATATATGCCAACATTCCCTTTGAGAATATCTTTGCTGATTACTTGTCAGTGTACTGTGTATTTCAAAACAGTGGATTTGTGCCAGAGGCATTTTCCTTTTCAGCGGGATGAGCTGTGCACCTTTATTCACAAGTCAAACTTTCCAACAGTGCAAAATGTCATTCACAGTCTTGCTTACAAATGACCATCCAAATACTTTGTTTAAATGTCTTAGATGAAAAGCTTACAACACTGAGATACGGCCTCTCCATTAGTCCATAGCTGAACTAAAATCCCTCCCTGCAATAGTCTGCTCTTGCTCTAATAACAGAATACCTACATTTGTGAAAACTGATGCATACTCTTCAATCTTTTTTTCTCCAAAGTATAGTTCTCTGCTTCTTCCCCAGTTGGTAATTTTTAGGTTCCCTTCCGAGTCTGGTCACTGGACCCCAGATTTGTCCATACTTTCATATAATATAGCCTCTAGGTGAACACAATACTCAAAATATTGTCTGACTCGAACAGAGTTCAGTGAAACTATAATCCTAAACTCCCTTGATCTGAACAACTACCCTTCTATCAAATGATTACTCTGGATAAAAAGTTGAGTCCAACACTAACACTAAACCATAAATAGATTTGAAATAATTTTTGCAGCAGGCATTATAAAATATGTTTAAGTCAACTTGAGGCATCTTAAACAGCTACTGTTTGGGCTTTTAGATTATTTCTTTCTTAGGCCCCTCCCCCCCCCAAAACAGTGCCAAAATGTAAGATGAAGTAGGTGGACTCAAGCTTTCGCCCTTGTAATCGGAAACACCACAAGGTGCCTGCCTCTGAGGTGTCTGTTTCATCCCCAGCCCTAGATCCCTGCTCTGCTTACATCAGTTTGAATGAGCCATGGAGGAACACCGACCACCAGTTCGATGAGTCTCAAGGCGCCCCTCTATGTGACAACCACGTGGATGGGGAGTGGTATCGCTTCACAGGCATGGCAGGGGATGCCATGCCCACCTTCTGCATACCTGAAAACCATTGCGGAACCCATGCACCTGTCTGGCTCAATGGTAGCCACCCTCTAGAAGGTGATGGCATCGTGCAACGCCAGGCCTGCGCAAGCTTCAGCGGGAACTGCTGCCTCTGGAACACCACGGTGGAGGTCAAGGCTTGTCCGGGCGGCTACTACGTATATCGTCTGACCAAGCCCAGTGTCTGCTTTCATGCCTACTGTGGTCGTGAGTACCTTCTCTGTGCTCTTTTCCTCCCCTATGGGGGCCAGAGACGGCATCAGAAAAATGCTGTATGAAATTGGGCTATCGTAGTATCTCAGAGTCTAAATAACATTGATTTAGAGTCACAGGCAACTTCAGATTGTGATTTCTGTGATCTGTTCTTAGATTTCTGAAGATGTCCTGAAGAAACAGAAAGGGAAAGGAACTATGACTTTGATCAGTTCTTTTTTATTTTGCCTTTGTTCCACTCAAACAAAACATTAGAAAATGAAATATTGACTTGGGTTATTTCAATAGTGGATTTCTAACCTTTTTGAGAATGGAGAACCCTTTTTTAAGATATATATCAGACATCCATAAGGTAGTACTGTGCTTAGTATCCATTGATTTTTTTAAATGATATGTAATGGGAAAAACCTGCTTGAGATCAGTAGTATTTTAAAACAAATGTTTGTGTTATTAATCCCATCAAAATCTGCATGCATTTAAAATTTTTTTAATGTTTATTTATTTTTGAGACAGAGAGAGACAAAGCACGAGCAAGGGAGGGGCAGAGAGAGAGGGAGACTGAGAATCCTAAGCAGGCTCCAGGCTCTGAGCTGTCAGCACAGAGCCCGAAGTGGGGCTTGAACTCATAAGCTGTGAGATCATGACCTGAGCCGAAATCAGACACTTAAAAAAAAAAAAATCTGTATGCATTTAAAAAATAGAGTACAGGGGTGTCTGGGTGGCTCAGTCAAGCGTCCAACTTTGGCTCAGGTCATGATCTTACGGTTCGTGGGTTCAAGCCCCACATTGGGCTCTATCTGATAGCTCAGAGCCTGGAGCCTGCTTCGGATTGTGTCTCCCTCTCTCTCTGCACCTCCCCCACTTATGCTCTGTCTCTCTCTGTGCCTCAAAAATAAATAAATGTTTTAAAAAAGTCTTTTTAAATAAAAAATAAAATACATAGAAGAATAGGGCATAACACTTATTTAATCTACAGCTCGTATTTGGTGAGGTTTTAGATTTGCAGAAACTATCACCTGGGGATCTGAAGTTGGGAACCATTGATCTAAATGACAGATGTCCCTGGGCAGTATCTCTGTCCAGTGGGTTACATAAACCCTGAACTATGAGAACTCTCAATGTTGGCCAAGAGCTCCTACCTCATGATTGAACCCATGAGGCTTTCTCATGAATGAGTGTCCTCTGGTCCTTAACCCCTCATGAAAGGTCGACCTTATCTTTCCACAGATTTTTATGACATCTGTGATGAGGACTGCCACGGCAGCTGCTTGGACACCAGTGAATGCACGTGCTCTCCGGGAACTGTGCTAGGCCCTGACAGGCAGACATGCTTCGGTAAGAAACTAATTGTGAGGTGGAAATAGGCCATTCACATCAAAAGGCAAATCAAAAACTTCCTGACTGTCATTTTTCTAGTTTGTGTCTCTAAACCCTTAGAACAGTATTTGCCTTTTTAGTTTGTGACTAAACCCTCAAACCAAATTTATACATGTGGAGGAACAGTCTAGACTCACACTGTCCAATACAGCAGCCCCTACCCATGTGTGGCTGTGGAGCTCTTGATATGTGGCCAGTGTGGGGGCCCTTGGGTGGCTCATTCAGTTATGCATCTGACTTTGGCTCAGATCATGGTCTCACAGTTCGTGGGTTTGAGCCTCGCATCCAGCTCTGCTCTGACAGCTCAGAGCCTGGAGCCTGCTTCGGATTCTGTGTCCCTCTCTCGCCCTGCTTCTCCCCCACTCATGCTCTCTCTGTCTCTCAAAAATAAATAAACATTTTAAAAAATTAAAAATTAAAAAAAAAGAAATGTGGCTAGTGTGATTGAAAAACTAAATTTTAATTTTACCCAATTTTAATTTAAAAACTGATACTTGAGGGATGTCTGGATGACTCCATTGGTTACGCGACTGACTCTTGATTTCGGCCCTGGTCATGATCTTGCAGTTCATGAGTTCAAGACCGCATCAGGCTCTGCACTCACAACACAGAGCCTGCTTCAGATCCTCTGTCTCCCTCTCTGCCCCTCCCCATTCTCTCTCTCTGTCTCTTTCTTTCTCAAAAACAAATGTTAAAAAAAATTTTTTTAAGTGATATTTTATTCAGTCATTGGAAAACCGAAAATGTTTGGGACAACTTGAGTAACCAACAGTAAATTTTATGACTCTAAATGCCAACCAAGTATTTCTCTTTTTTTAATGTTTATTTATTTGTTTGAGAGAAGGAGAGAGAGGGAGAGAGAGTGAGCAGGGGAAGATAGATTGAGAGAGGGAGAGAGAGAATCCCAAGCAGGCTCAGCGGTGTGAGCACACAACAATCCCATGACATGACCTGAGCTGAAATCAAGAGTCGGCCGCTTAGCCACCTGAGCCGCCCAGGGACTCCCCAACCAAGTAATTCAATGAAAAGTTAGCAACCAGGGAGCCTGGGTGGCTCAGTCGGCTGAGAATCCGACTCTTGATCTCAGCTCAGGTCTTGATCTTAGGGTTGTGAGTTCAAGCTCCAGTTCTATGCCCAGCATATAGCCTACTAAAAAAGAAGAGGAAAGGAAAGGAAAGGAAAGGAAAGGAGAGGAGAGGAGAGGAGAGGAGAGGAGAGGAGAGGAGAGGAGAGGAGAGGAGAGGAGAGGAAAGGGAAAAGGAAAAGGAAAAGGAAAAGGAAAAGGAAAAGGAAAGAAAATTTAGCATCCAAATTGAGATATGCTGTAAGTATAAAATACACACTAGATTCGTTCAAAAAAAATTTTAAATATCTCAATAATTTTAAAATTGATGTTATATTTAGAGGAAATATTTTAGACATATTGGATTAAATGAAATGTGTTCTTAGAATTTTTTTAATGTGACTGCTAGAAAGTGTTAAATTACTTACGTGGCTTGCTTTGTATTTCTGTCAGATGGCTTTGCTCTAGGATTGTCTAAGAACATACTCCTACAGCTGCACTAACATAATTTTGGTTTCTCTGAGTAGCAAGAAATGGGAGTCAGATAATTTTCTAGGAAATCTAGAGTTGTCTACTTACACTAAGTTTTTGTCTGTAACTGGAACAAAATAGAGTTTAAAAACCCAAGACTGAAGATCATATCTTTTCCCATTAATGTTATGACTCATAACATTAGTTTCCCATTAAGGTATTCAGACTCAAATAGGTTTAAAACACATCCAGGGACAACTGGGTGGCTCAGTTGGTTAAGTCACCGACTCTTGATTTCAGCTCAGGCCCTGATCTCATGGTTCATGGGTTCGAACCCTGCGTCTGGCTTTTCAATGAGAGTGTGGAGCCTGCATAGGATTCTCTCTGTCTCCCTCTCTCTCTGCCCCTCCCCAGCTCATGATCTCTCTCTCTCTCTCTCTCTCTCTCTCTCTCTCTCAAAAATAAATAAGCACTTAAAACACACCCAAAGAGAAAGGGAACACTGGCCCACACCTGCCTTTTCAAGAACAGTAACAGGTCAAATGGAACAGGGATTAAGTTGAAAGGAATATAAAAAGATTCTTATTGTAGAAAAGTTTATGTTCTTCAGCCTCCTTAATGAACCCCACTGACAACCCCATGGAGTATGTTTATGCCCTCCTGTGCCAGCTCTTAGGGATCTTGCATGATGGACTTCGTGTGATTTAATGCTAAAAGGTTTGGGATATAGGAGACGATTGTTCCCGTAATCTTCCCTAACTTCCTTCCCTAACCCCCTCTCTGTCACACACACACACACACACACACACACACACACACACACACACATACACGATGTGCTTGGGAAATATTTGGCTTCATTTTAAGACAGGCTTTGTTTCATTACTCAGCTTTTTTTTTTTTTTTTTTTAGTGTTTATTTTTGAGAGTGAGAGAGAGAGAGAGAGAGTGCAAACAGGGGAGAGGCAGAGAGAGAGGGAGACACAGAATCTGAAGCAGGCTCCCAGCTCTGAGCTGTCAGCACCAGCTGACTGAGCCACCCAGGCGCCCCTCAGCTTTTGTTTTAATATAACATTTGAATAGATAAGGTAATTAGATGGGTCCCAAATTGAACAGCTTGAATGGTATACAATGAAATGTCTAGCTCTCTGTCCTCCATTTGTCCCATTTGTCCCTTCTCCAACCCCATCTCAGGTAAACTCTTGTAATATTTTCTGATGTATGCTCCCAAGATTTCTTCAGGCAGATATAAAAAATGTAAATATGTATGTTTATTTACTGCCCTTTTTTTACACCAAAGGCTGCATATTGTACACATCTCTTGGTTAGCAATTTATGTTGGACATCTTTGCCTAGCAGTGTGTAGGGAAATCAACTCAGTTCCTATTCAAAGTCTGTCATGAATTCCCTGAAATTAAAGGCAAAGTTTTGTGTTAATGTAAGTTTTCCTTTATTTTAAAAAATATATATAATTTTAATTATTATTTTAAATTATGTTAATTTTTTAGCCCAAGAAAAGTGTAAAAGAAAATAATACAACAGGATTATTGGCCAGAATGATAAAATAATGTAATTCATGTACCCAGATTTAACTATAGTTCATTTTTTCTTCCATTTTTCTTTTTTTTTTTTTAAGTAAATCTTTTGTGGGGCACCTGGGTGGCTCAGTCAGCTAAGCATCCAACTTCAGCTCAGGTCATGATCTCTCAGCTTGTGAATTCAAGCCCCGCATCAGGCCCTGTGCTGACAGCTTGGAGCCTGGAGCTGCTTCAGATTCTGTCTCTCTCTCTCTCTCTCTCTCTCTCTCTCTCTGCCCCTACCCAACTCATGCTCTGTCTCTCTTTCTCTGTCTCTCTGTCTCAAAAATAAATAAGAATTTTTTAAAAAGTAAATCTTTTTTTTTTTTTATGTGTATTCATTTTGAGAGAGAGAGAGTGCACAAGAGCAGAGTAAGGACAGAAAGAGAGAGAGAGAGAGAGAGAGAGAGAGAGAGAGAGAGAGAGAATCCCAAGCAGGCTCCGTGCTGTGAGCACAGATCCCCATGCCCGGCTGAAACCTTCAAACTGTGAAATCATGACCAGAGCCAAAATCAAGAGTCAGATGCTTAACCCACTGAGCCACCCAGCTGCCCCCTTTTTCTTTTTAATGAAATTTTACAGATACAAATGAAGTCATCTCACTCCATCTCCTTTTTCATTTCCCTTTTCACCCTCTGGGAGTAATCACTGTTTTGAAACTAGTGTGTGTTCTTCTGGTCCCTGTTTTTATGCTTTTATTATTTATGTATGTACCCATAACAATATATAGCATTGTTTTTGTTCTTTTTCTTTAAATTTTTTTTAATTAAAAAAAAAATTTTTTTTTAACTTTTATTTATTTTCAAGACAGGGAGAGACAGAGCATGAACAGGGGAGGGCAAGAGAGAGGGAGACACAGAATCTGAAGCAGGCTCCAGGCTCTGAGCTGTCAGCACAGAGCCCGACGCGGGGCTAGAACTCACGGACCGCGAGATCATGGCCTGAGCCGAAGTCGGCCGCTTAACCGACTGAGCCACCCAGGCACCCCCATTGTTTTTGTTCTTAAAATTAACATAAAAATGATCCCTTACTCCATGTGTGAGATTTTCTCTAGAGTATACTCATAAAAGTAGAATTGCTGGGGCAGAGAGCATCTAAGGCCGTAAGTGACAGTTAACTCCCAAATACCAATGGTTTAAATCAGAAGTGTATTACTGTCTCGCATAAAAAGAGAAAAAAGAAAAAGAAAAAAATCAGTCTCCAGGTAAGCTGTCCAGGCTTGGGACAGAGTATGGCCACATCCAGGAAAGCAGCTGGCACTTCTAACCATCCACTTGCCAGGCAGTAGTGGCCCCAGTGAAGAGTCTAATCTTATGCGCTACGTTTTTCATTTCTACAAGTTCTGTGCATTTGTTTAGTTTCAATTCTACTTTGTCTTTTTGCATACTTCTTTTATCTTGGTTACTATCCTTTCTTTTATCTGTTTAGTAATTTTTTAGATCATTGCATTACAGAGTTTTCAGGATTATTCTGTTATCTTCAGTTCAGAGCCTTCCATTTGTTATCTTGCCAAGCCATTCTCATCGTGGATCATTTCCTCATGTGTAGTGTTTTGTGGCAAACCACCACCTGTTGAAATTGTGTTTCTGTGGAACTCCCCTCTGACTGCCTGGTTTGTGGAAGTTTGACTACAGAGCAGTTTTTCAAATGCTTCTGTCATGCACAACAGAAGTTTCGCCAGTCCAGGCCAAATTTTATACCAGTTTCTCAGCTCCAAGATTCCCATTTTCCATGGGAATTATAAGTTCATACTTCAACCATAGCAAAGCCTGACTTGGGGTTTGCGTTGTTTATGAAGGATTTTTCTCTCCCCGAGGCCTCAGAGAGAGCTTGCTTACTGTGTCCGTGGGCCTCAGGGCAAAGTTCTTCTACTCCCCCTTTCATTGTGGGGATATCTTTTCTGGGGTCCTGGATTTAAGCAGGGTTTCATTTGCAGCTCACCTCCTCTCCTGAGCCCAAGGCCATGCCATCTGTCACCCTGTGGGTGTTCAAATCCCAAACCCCTATCCCCAACTCCAAGCCATGATACATGTATCTCCCAAGCTTCTCTTTCTTTGTAGAAGTATGGGAAGTGACATTTGCATTTTTTTTTAATTTTCTTTTTTTTTTTTTTGAACGTTTATTTATTTTGGGGACAGAGAGAGACAGAGCATGAACGGGGGAGGGGCAGAGAGAGAGGGAGACACAGAATCGGAAACAGGCTCCAGGCTCCGAGCCATCAGCCCAGAGCCTGACGCGGGGCTCGAACTCACGGACCGCGAGATCGTGACCTGGCTGAAGTCGGACGCTTAACCGACTGCGCCACCCAGGCGCCCCGACATTTGCATTTTTTTATAGCAAGCAGCTGTGCATTTTTTTTTTTATAGCAAGAGTACTTATCCTTTATCAGATTCTTAAAAAGGTTAACAGTCATTGCTTAAGTACCGAATAGGAATATTCCAATATTTAAAATAGACTTCAAAAAAAATAAAAATAAAAATAAAAAAAATAAAATAAAATAGACTTCAAGGGCAGTTGTTCATATTATAACAGAAGATGGCCTCACACATAATTTTTATCAGCTATTCATTTCTGCACTGCAAGTTCCTTTGATGTATTTAAAACACAGTTTGATTTGTAAGTCTGTATTTATTTAGTTAAACTTCAGGAACTCACTGGAAAAAGTGAGATTCACCAATACAAACAAATAGTTGAGGCCAGGTAACAAAAGAAACTTCATTTCCCCAGTTTTGCTCTTAGAAGGGAATTAATTAGGGGCGCCTGGGTGGCGCAGTCGGTTAAGCGTCCGACTTCAGCCAGGTCACGATCTCGCGGTCCGGGAGTTCGAGCCCCGCGTCTGGCTCTGGGCTGATGGCTCGGAGCCTGGAGCCTGTTTCCGATTCTGTGTCTCCCTCTCTCTCTGCCCCTCCCCCGTTCATGCTCTGTCTCTCTCTGTCCCAAAAATAAATAAAGGTTGAAAAAAAAATTAAAAAAAATAAATAAAAATTTAAAAAAAAAGAAGGGAATTAATTGGCCAACAACTAAGTGCCTTCTGTTCTAGCAGAGGACAGATGGGTAAATAACCTGGTTTAGGACATCAGGTTAATGGAAGTGATTATGAGGATTACAACAAAGGATTGGTGTATCGACAGGCTCTGAAAAGATGAGAAGACTCTGCTAAGGAGCTTGGGAAAAGATTGGGCTGCTCAACAGTGTGTAAACAGGGTGGTTTCTCTTCTACAGATGAAAATGAATGTGAGCAAAACAATGGTGGCTGCAGTGAGATCTGTGTAAATCTGAAAAATTCGTATCGCTGTGACTGTGGGGTTGGCCGTGTGCTAAGAAGTGATGGCAAGACGTGTGAAGGTGAGAATGGGTAAGAAGGGATTCAGATCAAGATCCCAGACTAAACCATTGGCTTACTCTTTGATTGATGTTCATGAAATTGTCCAGCATTAGGAGACAGTCAAGGTTGGGCTATGTAAAGAAATGACAAAAGGGGTTCACCGTCACTGGGGACTTTCATGTTGCAGGCAGAATTCGGTTTTGATTTCATCTTCAAGATAAAGGCAGTTGTATTTTGCAAGAGGCAGAGGGCCACTTTTTTTTTTCTTTTTAAGTAAATTCTACCCTCAGCGTGTAGCTGTAATTTACAACCCCAAGGTCAAGAGGCACAGGCTCTACCAACTGAGCCAGCCAGGTGCCCCAAGGGCCACATTTAATTTGGGGGAAAAAATAGGGTATTATGCATTTCTCAAGCTTTAATGTGCCCATAAATCACCTGGGATCTTGTTAAAATGCAGATGGTGATTCAGTAGATCTGGGGTCAGGCAAAGATAATACATTTCTAAATAACTTCTAGGTGACGCCTCTGCTGCAGAGGAGCATAGTTGGAGTAGGAAGATAATAGAGATGGTTATAGCAGGGTTTCTCAAACATTCCTGCTGAGGAGAATCACCCGGGTGCTTTCAAACCTGGCCCTTGCCAGTCCTCTCTCCTGGAACCTTGGTTCAGGGGGGCGAGATGAGCCTTAGGGTTTGTGTTTTTACCAAGTTCCATTAAGTGAGTCTTACCATCTTGAAGTTTGGGAACCTGGTTCACATGCAGGCATTTTTTTCCCCCTCTATGCTTTGCATTTACTGGAGATTAATACACTTTGGGGAAGATAACTAAAATTCTCTATTGTTAATAGCAGAAATGCTGTGTACATTTTATATGATTAAGTAATAAAAAAGAATTTGTAATTTATGTCAAATAGTTGAAATGGCAGTTGTGTACTCTGACAATGATATGAAACTTAGATAATGTTCTTTCTCTAAGACACCTTTGCCCTTGTAAATTATCACAACTAAAATGTCGTCCCTTCCACTTTACTGAGTCTGAATCTCATACCATTGGGAGTTGAGGGACCAAAAGAAAAAAAAGAAAAACCCTCTTTGCAGATTATATGAAGAGATCAATGGCTTAATTATTATTTACAGAGGACCTATGATTTGTCTGTGAGGCTAAATCGAATTTGTGGTACAACACTGCTTATAAGAGTTCACTTTATTCTGGTAATATTCAACATAATAAAATATTATCCCGAAAGGAAAAATTATGCCTAGTTCCTACATTTTGTTCTATGCAACAAGTTTGCATTAATAACCGGGGGACCATTAGCCAGAATATTAAGCTACTGTCACTTATAACAAGACTAAATGTACTTTAAATTTTATTGAGTAAGGGTAATGTCCTGAATCTTCTTTAAATCTTAATTATTTTATGTAATAATCTTTGCATATTGAAATATTAATGAAATGTTCCATGAGGAACATTTGTAATTATTTGCAAGCATTTTATTGGCAGTATTAGTGTTAATCTTCATATAATTTTAAAACCTAATAATCATGATTGAAAGTATCTTAAGAGAAGACAAAATTTATATATCAGGTATACTTTAGCATTAAGATGCATATTTGAAACCCTTAAGTCTTATTGATAGTCCAAACATATTTGTTTCTTTAGTCATTAAATAATTATATCTTCTTTTTTAAAATAAAAGCCTCTTTTTAATTTTATGTAATTTTTATTGTTTTGTTTATTATGAAAATTATGTTCATAGAAGAAAATAAATACAGAGGAATAAATGAAAGGTAACTAAAATGACCCACAATCCCACCTGCCAGATGTATCCAAACATTTGGAATATCCTCATAAGAGACTTAAACCCTTTATGCCAACATAGAATTTCAACTTACTTTGTGCTTTGCAGTTTTAGACCTACAAATAGCCTGAGTGAACATTTAGTCCAACCCTTCCCTTTTATAAATATTGAAATCGAGACCCAGAGAAATTAAATTGACTTAAGGAAGATCATTTTTAGAAAAAAAAATCCCATTAATGTTGATTTAACGTTTTCTAGTATATTTTTATGCTGCCTTCTACATTGTTCTATATCATTTTCAGCTCTTTCAAAAACCAATAGTAGTACTTTTATCCTTTTTAAGTATCCAGATTTGTAAACAGGTAATAGCCTAATACTTCCTAAGTTTTGCAAGGATTAATTCGCTGCAAATTTGTATTCTTTGTTTGTTTCACAAAAATCGGTTGATCCCAGGTTAATTTACTAATGTTCCAAGGAACTAATTTTTTTTAACTGTTATTGAACTGAGAATTATAACTATAACTGGAAATCAGTTTCTATCTTTCTTTGAGCATCTGAGATGCTTTGAAAGCATTCCCTTTACTTATCTTACCCCTAGAACAGGGGCAGCAAACTTCTGTGTAGACCAAATAGTAGGTATTTTAGGCTCTGGGGATCGTATGGAATCTGTTGAAACTACTCAAGTCTGCCCTGTAGTGAGAAAGCACTCAGACAATTGGTAAATGAATGAGCGTGACTGTGTGCCAGTAAAACTTATGCCGGAATTTGATGACCCCTCACAATGTCTAGAGCCCACAAAGGTCATTAATTTTCCCAACTAACTATGAAATCGTGTGGTAGTTTCTTCAGTTGACAATTGAATATTTTTTTCTTGTTCATTTGGTTGAGTATGCTTTTTGAAAATGCAAAACTTTCAGGGCACCTGGGTGGCTCAGTTGGTGAAGTGTCTGACTCTGGATCTCAGCTCAGGTCTTGATCTCAGGGTTGTGAGTTAAAGCCCATGTTGGGCTCCATGCTAGGCGTGAAGCCCACTAACAAAGAAGAAGAGGAAGAGGAAGAGAAGGAAGAGGAAGGAGGAGGAGGAAAAGGAAGAAGGAAATAGAGGAGGAGAAGGAGAAGGAGAAAGAGAAAGAAAATGCAAAGCTTTTTTTTTTTTTTACATGTTTTATTTATTTTTGAGGCAGAGAGAGACAGAGCATGAGCAGGGGAGGGGCAGAGAGAGAGGGAGACACAGAATTGGAAGCAGGCTCCAGGCTCCGAGCTGTCAGCACAGAGCCCGACGCGGGGCTCAAACTCACAAACCGCGAGATCATGACCTGAGCCGAAGTCGGACGCTTAACCGAAGGAGCCACCCAGGCACCCCAATATGCAAAGCTTTTTAAAGGAAACTTTAAAAAAACACCTCAAGAGAGGAATGTCACAAAGAGTATGTGAGAGTGTGTCATCCAGGCCTCATTTTTATAAGTGTGCTATCAGCCCAAGGCACGTATCCCAGTGCTATTGTTCCTAGAGATTTGAGGAGAGGGTCTGGCAATCCAACCAACTGGCAATGATGGATACGTCTCTCTAGTCTAGTTGAATTTATATTCTGTCAGTCCCTTTTATATCAGTCATATGCTATAAAATTTCAAAATGGGTGGATTACAGCAACTAAGAAATTACTTTTGGGTCTTCCTCTCCAAAACTGTCGTATAACCATGAGAAAAACAGACAAATCCAGATTGAAGGTCATTCAACAAAATGACCAGCTTAAGAGGTCAGAGCTTTAGATGTTCTAAGATTGCTCTTTCTAGCTATAACATTTAATAAACATTTTTTGTGTGGACTTCCCTACATGACTCAGTGACTGGGTTAGACCCCAGTGATACTGCAATGAGTCAAATATATTCCCTGATGCCAAGTGCCAGCCCAAGAACACAATTCTTGGGAAAGAGGCCTGCAAGATCACTCCCTTTTCTTTTGGTTTTATTGCAGACATTGAAGGATGCCACAATAACAATGGTGGCTGCAGCCATCTTTGCCTTGTGTCTGAGAAGGGCTATCAGTGTGAATGTCCCCGGGGCTTGGTGCTGTCTGAGGATAACCACACATGCCAAGGTAGTACACGGATGCGCTCAACCTCTGCTCTCCCCCGTGAATCTCCCTGCCTTCTTCACTCAAGTGTGTTAATATTCCCATCTTGTAGAGCATCAGCTCTTTCGACAGTGTGTATCTCTGCATCTTTACTCTGGGATCATTCAAAAGAGAAGCTCTGTAAGACAGCATTACCAAAAAGTTCATTTTCTTTTGCTTTTTAAAAAATTCTGGTACAGGGGCGCCTGGGTGGCGCAGTCGGTTAAGCGTCCGACTTCAGCCAGGTCACGATCTCGCGGTCCGTGAGTTCGAGCCCCGCGTCGGGCTCTGGGCTGATGGCTCAGAGCCTGGAGCCTGTTTCCGATTCTGTGTCTCCCTCTCTCTCTGCCCCTCCTCCGTTCATGCTCTGTCTCTCTCTGTCCCAAAAAATAAATAAACGTTGAAAAAAAAATTAAAAAAAAAAAAAATTCTGGTACAAAAAAAACATACAACAGAAAATTGACCGTCTAAACCAATTTCAAATATATAGTTCGGTAGTGGTAAGTATATTCACATTGCTGTGCAACAGATTTCCAGAATGTTTTTATCTTGCAAAACTAAAACTCAATACCCATTAAACAATAATTCCCCCCATTCCTCCCTCCCCACCCCCTGCCCTGGCAACCACTGTTATATTTTCTATTTCTATGAAGTTTGACTACTTTAGACACCTCATGTGACTATGTATCTTTTGTGATTGACTTATTTCACTTAGCATTTCATTTAGCACAAAGTTCATCCATGTGGCATATGACAGGATTTCCTTTCTTCATAAAGCTGAATAATATTCTGCCGTATTAATATACTACATTTTGTTTAGGGGCTCATCCATTGATGGGCACTTGAGTTACTTCTACATTTTAGATATTGCAAATAATGCTGCTATGAACATGAGTGGGCAAATATCTCTTTGAGATCCTGTTTTCAGTTCTTTTGGATAAATACCCAGAAATGGGATTGATGGTCCATCAGTTTCCTTTGCTTTTTACTTTTGATTTTTTTCTCTAATTTCTATTATTAGCAGTGTAACTAATAGTTAATTTTGAAGTCTAAGACACTGATGCAGTTCCTCTCTTTTCTAACAGATAATTGGGTGGTGAAACTAAGTTGAGAGCCCTAGGGAGCTGATTCGTCTCCCTACAATTACAATGTGAACATCAACAATTCTCTGAGAACTATTTTCTGGAAATCTAGTTATTTATGTCCAGAATATTAACTCATTCACATAGCAAATATTTAATGAGCACCTATCTCTGATTTCCTTATACTGTGTTATTGTTATGATATATCCTCCCATATTGATGTTGTCCTCACATATTTTCTGACAGTACCCATAAGTATTCCTTTTCGGGTATTTGTAGAGTCTGGAAAACTGAACACAGGGACACCAAAGAAAAGCAATCTTTTTCATATTAAGTTAAAGTGGAATTTATAGTCAGCATTTATGGTTTACTGAACAATGCAAGGACAATTTGGAACTCTTTCCCAAGTGCACTAACGTTGTTTTTATTACCTCTGTTTTATGAGACATAATTAATGGTAAAGTCAGAGCAGTACTGTTATGTAATTTAAGCCTACATCAAAGCAGTACTTTTTCTGTATTGCCAATAAATTGTGTTTGTGCTAAAAGTTAATCCTTTAGGTGTTTCAGTTCGTGGAACTATGCTATCCACACTTTGAAATAAATGTTGAATTGAAACTCAAACACAATATTTCCTCATTCGGGGAACAATTATTTGAGGATCATTATTAGACCACAACCCTGGGAGTTAGGAGTCCTGGTTTTATTCACCAAATTGTTTTGAACCTCATAGATTTTCTTAAGGATAAAACAAAAAGCTCAAATTGTGTGAGGTTAAAATTATTTCCCCTAGACACCGTCCTTACCCTTCTCCCAATTCAAATTTCCCAGTTCTTACAGTACCCCCCTTTATGCCGCAGTCCCCGTGTTGTGCAGGTCAAATACCATTGAAGTGAGCATCCCCAGGGACCTGGTTGGCGGTCTGGAGCTCTTCCTGACCAACACCTCCTGCCGAGGAGTGTCCAACGGCACCCACGTCAACATCCTCTTCTCCCTCAAGACGTGTGGCACAGTGGTCAATGTAGGTTCTTCCTGGAGGACGCTTGGGGAATAACCAAAAGCCAGTTATTTGGGAGGTAGTTGACAGAGGTATGCAGCGTGGCTTGTGTTATAGATGATATAGTTCCACATTAAAAAATGGAGCTCGAAGAATCATATGCCGTTCATTTAACACATATATTATTGAGCATCTGCCGTGGTCCTGGCACTGTGAGCACAGAGAGGTAAGAAGAGTTCTTCTCTTTCTGTTCTTAAATGGTCCTGTCTCTCCAATGTGTACAGACATTTTCCCAAGTGCCTCAGCACCAGCACTGGGAGACTGGTCGCATCTCCTCTGACCAATTATTTTACTTGAAGAAAGCAAATGACACAGATGAAAGTTCACTTATGAGGTAACAAATGAGTTCGAGTAGTAAACTAGACAGAGGTTCAAAGTTTGTATTTTTGTCCAAGAATCTGCATTGAAGTCTCAGGGATATATGAAATAAGATTCCTAACTTTTGAGAACATACACAGTAGTATTGAGATCACACACACACACACACACACACACACACACACACACAATATAAATAAGAAACAGTGAGGGGTGCCCGGGAGGCTCAGTCGGTTAAGTGTCCAACTCTGGATTTCGGCTCGGATCATGATGTCATGGTTTCTGGGATGGAGCCCCACGTCGGGCTCTGTGCTGACAGTGAAGAGCCGGTTTGGGATTCTCTCTCTCCCTCTCTCTCTGCCCCTCCCCCACTCATGCATGCTCTCTCCCTCTCTTTCTCTCTCAAAAATAAATTAAAAAAGAAAGAAAGAAACAGTGATACAGATGACAGGGGCTATAGCAGTCTAGAAAGGGACAAACATTGGGGATGTCAAGACAAATGGGACTTGAACTGGAGTAGAAGCATGTGTGTGGCTTATACAGAGAGGAGAGGGCATTTCAGATGAGAAACAAGTGAGCAAGTCTCAGATATAGGAATATTTAAGGCTTATGCTGAGTGAATGGGCAGTTCAGACTGACTGGCAAGGAATTCATATTGGAAAAGGAAACTAGAAAAGTAGACGGGGTAGGGTGGAGGTGGGGGTGCGAGACTGCTTCCAAAGATCTGCCTTGTGTGCGAGGGTGAGACGTTTGGGCTCTATACCATAGAGGGGGGTTGCAGGCACTGTTGTGATGAGATCAGAAGCATGAGAAATGGATAGAGAAAAGGGGACCTGGATCCAGGAGATTAGGGCAGAGATTCTCATGAACTTCTGATTAAATAAATATTTATTTGCTGAATTCGACTAAGAGAAATCAGAGATCTAATTGAACTTAGATTGAGACATGGGGGTGGTATCTCAGGAGAAGGTGGTCCCACTTTAGGCAAATTGTGTTTATTGTATCTGTAGATGATTAAGTAGAAAGGCCCCCGTGGTGTGTTGGATTTGCTGGCACCCGGAGAGCAGACAAGGCTGGAGACAAAGAACTGAAAGTCATCTGCATAAATGTGATAGCTGAAGTTCTGCCTGTGGATGAGTTCAGCACAAGGTCAGGCCGCAGCCTGATCAGCAGGTCTAGGAGTCCAGAAAAAAAAAAAAAAAAAAATAGAAGCCATTCCTTCCTAAAATACCAGAGCTTTGAATTTGCTGATTCTGCATAGTTCAGGTTTTATGAGTAATACTCCAAAGGAATGCGTGGGTTGACCATGAAGTAGTATATAAAATTCTTAACAGTCAGAACATCTTGCTAAAAAGAAGTGATTAAAAAAAAAAAACAGTTCCAGTCTTCAGCAACCAAATCTTTTATGTGTTTTGATGTAAATAGAAGTTGAGAGAATGCGGGGTGCCTGGGTGGCGCAGTCGGTTAGGCGTCTGACTTCAGCCAGGTCACGATCTCGCGGTCTGTGAGTTCGAGCCCCACGTCAGGCTCTGGGCTGATGGCTCAGAGCCTGGAGCCTGTTTCCGATTCTGTGTCTCCCTCTCTCTCTGCCCCTCCCCCGTTCATGCTCTGTCTCTCTCTGTCCCAAAAATAAACAAACGTTGAAAAAAAAAATTTTAAAAAGAAGTTGAGAGAATGTTACAGTCAGGAGTGGGGCAGGGTTTGGGAGGTGGGGATGGGGAACTCCTTAGAAATAAACATAAAATCTTTTCTTCTCCTGGCCCTGGCCTGGCTCAGGTGGTAAATGACAAGATCGTGGCAAGCAATCTTGTGACAGGTCTACCCAAGCAGACCCCAGGGAGCAGCGGGGACATCATCATCCGAACCAGCAAACTGCTGATCCCAGTGACCTGCGAGTTTCCACGCCTGTACACCATTTCGGAAGGCTACGTTCCTAACCTTCGAAATACCCCACTGGAAATCATGGGCCGCAGTCATGGAATCTTCCCATTCACTCTGGAGATCTTCAAGGACAATGAGTTTGAAGAGCCTTACCGGGAAGCTTTGCCCACCCTCAAGCTTCGAGACTCCCTCTACTTTGGCATTGAGCCTGTCGTGCACGTGAATGGCTTAGAAAGCCTAGTGGAGAGCTGCTTTGCCACCCCCACCTCCAAGATCGATGAGATCCTGAAGTACTACCTCATCCAGGATGGGTAATTATGCTGCTTACACGATTTACTACCCCCAGTTCACATCCACCTTCTAAGTGCACAGGCCTACTCGGTCATTTCCTAAAACAACATGGCACTCTTATGAGTTCTTAAATGGTTCAGAAGCCACTCATTGACATATTGGAGGTAAAAACTGGTGAGGGAGCAGAGAGTCAAAAATGACTCCAAGGGGTCTAGCTCAGGTGACTGACTAGATGCCATTAACCAAGACGGAAGGCTATAAGTAGAAAAGCAGGTTTGAGGTGAAATATTGAATATGATAATTCCAAGTAATGCTATTGAATTGTAAATGCCTGTAGGATATATGGGAAGAGAAGTTCAGTGGGCAGTTGGAAATGTATATCAGACCTTGGAACAAGGTCAGGACTAGAGATAAAGGAGCAAGAATCATCCCTGTAGACTACAGGCACCCCTTGTAGACTTCTCTTTTAAGAAGCTTGGTAGCGAGGAGCGACTCTTGGTTTTGGCTCAGGTCATGATCTCATGATTTGTGAGTTCAAGCCCTGCATCAAGCTGTGTGTTGACAGCACAGAGCCTGCTTGTGTGTGCGTGCTCTCTCTCTCTCTCTCTCCCTCTCTCAAAATGAATAAATAAACTTAAAAAAGAAGAAGAAGAAGCAGCAGCAGCAGCAGCAGCAGCTTGGGTAGCGAAGGAGAGAAAAGAAATACTTGGAAGGTTTCAGGAGAAGAAAGAGCAAGTGAAATTTGGTTTTTCTGTGCCTGTTTTATACAAAGGAGATTTCCTTTATCTCCTAAGAATCCTTGGATTGAGAACTATGTGTGTCTCATGGGATCATTGGAAGTCTGGCGGTTATCCCATCCATTGCTTACATTCCCAGGAAAATTACATTCATACCCCAAACTCATGGCAGAATCTTATCAGTTTCTTCCTTGTTCTCAGTGTCAGGTGGGACATATCTCAGGTAGGGGCAGGGACTGCAGCTCAATGAAAGGGAAATGGTCTAGCAAGAGCACCACATGGGCCATGCCCTTTGCTAATTGGCCTGCTGGACTCTGAAATATCGACTTAGCTTTTATCTACCAGATCTCTCATCACAGGCAACCTCCACCTGCTGTTGTCAATCTCTCGCACAGTGATTTTTCAACTCTTGAAGCACATTGGGATCAACCAAGAGCCTTTTGTAGAAAGTAGCAATACCCCCATGCTGTTGTCTCTGTTCTCTTACTGTCTTAATTCCAGCCCTTGTTATCTTTCACCTGGACAGCTAAAACAGCCTCCCAACAGCCCCCTAAGTCCCAACTCTCAAATCTCAGCTTCAAGAGTCCCTGGATATCTAGTCAAAAGGAAGACAAACTTTAAATTTTTGAAAAAAAAAATATATATATATATGGTCAGATCCATGTTGAAAACCTTTGATGGCTCTTGATTTCCTTTGGTTAGTAAATTTCACCGTTTACCAGCAGGAGTACTTCTAGCCTCAGCTTTCTGTAGCCTCCTTTTCTTGTGTTCAGAAAATGGAAAATTTATCATTCTGAGCTGTTTTGGGTGGCCAGTAATAGGTCTCATAGGAGTCTGTAGTTCTTGGGATTTCTTGCCATCTTAAAGTTATCCTCACAAAGCTTTAAAGTGAAAATTAGAAGTATCACTTTTTATTTATTTTTTTCACTCACATCCTAAAGTTAATAGATTAAGGAATGGATTTTCTTTTAGGGGGAGAGGAGATTTTGGTTCCTTTTTTTTTTTTCTAACAGCATTATTGGAGTACCATTCTCACACAGTGAGCATACACATTGAAAGTGTACAGTTGGGTAAGTTCTGATGTATACATTCATGAAGCCATCACTATAATCAAGATAGGGAACTTTTCTCTCATTCCAAGAGTGTTCTCCTTCCCCTGTACTTACTTTTTACAAAAATAAATGTATAATCATAACCCACCTACTGGAAAAAGATGTAATCTACAATCTCAATAAAGCTTGCAAAGTTTGTTTATGTATTTGTTATTCAGATAGTTAAGGACTATATACTTTTTATTTTAGACAGTTCTAAGAAGCTGTGCTATTTAATTTTCCAGCCCTTAGCATGTACAAAATAGCCCCCCTCCTGAAAATGCTACAGGAGAAATTAAAGTGCTTAAAAGCCAGAGACAAGAACTCAAAAACACAGCTGTAGAGATCTATTTAGTAACCAGGCAAATAGTCCCATCTCTGGCACAATAATGGATAGTACTGTAATGGTGTATATGAGACAATTCCTCAAGATAAAATCCAACTCTAAGCCTGGCTTATTGTGCCTCACCCTCTGACCTCTGCCTTCTCCAGTTTCTGCTCCTGGCAAAGGGAACTACAGGCAATTCCCACACTCCATTGTTCCTTACACCCTTCTGACTGTACCTGTTGTTTCCTCTGCCTGAAATCTTCTTCCCCTTTTCTTGCTGCCTGAATCTTACTGGTCCTTCAACATTCAACAGGATTTCTTTCCTCCATGAAGCCTTCCCTGATTCCTTCTAACCTGAACTAGAAATATTCTTTCCTCCTCAATGCCTAGTCTATAGGGTCATTAAATATTGGTCAAATGAATTATTGCGTGAGCATTTAACATAACAGTAATCTGAAGCTAGTCCAGAGCCCTAAAGTAAACATAATGCAGTGTGATTACATTTATAAACTGTTTGATTATTCATCGTCCTCAGCTTAAATTTAAATCGGGATGGTTTCTCCTGATATTTGGCCCATCTCGTTTACCTCCCTCCAGTTTCAATTGGCCTGTGCTCTGAGAATGCAAAGTAATTTAATACAAGCCCACGCAAAGTAGAATTAGAAAGTTATTCTCCAGAAAAAGAAACATATTGAATTCCAAAATAAAATACTGGACAACATTTGGGTAATCAATGATTTTGTATTATCCTATATACCAATGTTACTTTCTTTCAACACACCAACTTAGAGCTGATGAACCAGCATTGTGTAATCATGGCAAACCCCAAGTCAAGAGCCAGAATTTGTTCTGGGTTCTCTTCTGTAATATATTACCCTGTAACAACTCTTTTTGCCTCATTCTCGCTTGAAACAACAACAACAACAACAATAGTATTTTTAGGTAAAAATAAATTGAAAATGGTGAGGCACTTAGATGAAAAGTGCCATTTTAATATCGCTTTACTCTTTTTTATCATAGATACAGACTGTAAACTCCTTGACATCACAGACCATATTTTTCATCTTTATATCCTCTGCAGTTCCCAGCAGAGTATGTTGCATTAGATTAGATATGCAGTAGGTATTTATTATAGAATGTAATCAAAAGATGGCATAAATTAACTTTACCTCAGGAAAATGAAAATGAGTACATAAATACAAGAAATAACAGAGACTGCATTATATATTTAGATCTTCTTCAGTTCAGGGGAATATGGTACTAGTGGTAATATAAGTCACAATGCCTTATTTTTAAACAATTTTATGGGATTTTTCAACGGCACTGAAACTTAGCAATGAACTAGAAAGTGGTCTTTAAGCATGTGGAGCAAGTATCCAATTTCATAGACTTTTACTTCTGATCCCCACCTTTTTTTCCTGGCCTTGGCAGACAAGAACTATTAGGTATCCATAAAAGGGAAAATACATTCAGGGAAAATAAAGTTCCTTTAAAATTCAGAATGGGAAAGATGATACAGGTGTAATCCCTGGCCTGTAGGAAGAAAATGTTCATCAAATACTAAACCGTGGTCTCAAAATTGAGAATCAGTAACACATCTTTTCCTCAGCTAACCCTGACGTACCCTATGAGTTTCACTTCAAGCGGTAGACCTGAGATTAAAACCCAAAAACCCTACAAAACCAAAACTTAGCGTTACATTTGGGAAAAGAGGAATTACAGCAGTTTGGAGGTGAATGAACTTTCCTCAGGAGAACGAGTTATTCTCTCTGGAACTTAGGTCTTTATGCAGCTCTTTGAAATACAAGTTGGGGTTTGCTCATCTCTGAACCCCCCTTGGGGGTTAGTGTATATAAGGTGTCCAATAAATATTTATGAAGTCTAGTTAAAAGAAAAGCCTTTTTAAGCCAATTATCGAGTATGTAGCCGCAGAATCCCTACCATGTATTAGAAATAAAAATACAGCCTTACAAAGATACCTTCATTTCCAGAGATACCGTTCAGTACATTGATATGTCAAGAGGTCCTTGTGCCCAGTTTGTGGGTACAGAGAATGAGAGATGATTAATGAACAGGGTTGTATCTGAAGATGCCTTTCTAGGGAGGGAATTTCATTTTTCCTTCATTCTCAACAAGCTTGAGTTCAGCCCAGCCTCCTCCACCCAGTCAGCCACTCTTTGGACCAAACACATTGGACTGGATTGTTTTTCCACCTCTGTAGAAACAATCAAGTCTTACGTGCTCTCCTGTCTTGCTTTCAGCTGTGTTTCAGATGACTCAGTGAAGCAGTACACATCACGAGACCACTTAGCAAAGCACTTTCAGGTTCCTGTCTTCAAGTTTGTGGGCAAAGACCACAAGGTGAGCTGAACACCTTTACCTCGTAACCTACATCCCCCACCCCCAGACCTGAACTGGTGTCCCAATTCGTTGACCTTCTCTATGAGACCAAAGTTAGGATCTGCATTCCCCTCTGAAAAATACTGTAGGGGTGCCTGGGTGGCTCAGTCGGTTGAGTGTCCAATTTTGGCTCAGGTCATGATCTCACAGTTCATGAGTTTGAGCCCCGTGTCAGGCTCTGTGCTGACAGCTTGGAGCCTGGAGCCTACTTCAGACTCTCTGTCTCCCCCTCTCTCTCTGCCCCTCCCCTGCTTGTGCTCTCTTTCTGACTCTCAAAAATAAATAAACATAAAAAAATTGTATAAAGTAAAGAAAAATACTGTAGAATTGGCCACCTAGAAGCCTAATACCTTCATTAATATCACAGTTTATCTGCCTCCCTCCCAAGAAAATCACTGTGCTTGTTCAAAGGAAATACTATATGATCATAATTTTAAATCATTGTGGGCAGATATGGTTGAAAAAGTCTGCTTGGTAGTCATTGGCCAAGGATATGGACAGAAAATTCACAGAAAAGACAAATAGTGAAGCGTTCAGTGAAAATAGTACTTAAGACGCCAATTAGAACAATTATAAGACATTATTTTATGCATATTAAATTTATAAAAATTTATCACAATGCTTGCAAAGTTATAGGGAGAATACAGTGACAATATAAATGAGTATAATTTCTGGAAAATTGTCTGATGATATGTAGCAATAACCATAAAATCATATTCTAAAAACTCCAATTCTGACAGTTTCTCAAAAACAAACAAGCAAAAAAAAAGAAAAACACGGTTTGTTAGATGTGTTTACAGAGCATTGTTACATGGGAAATGAGAGAAAGCCCCCAACCAGGCCTACCATATATCAGTTAATGCAATACTAAGCAGTTATTAAAATGAGAAATATAGAAAAAGGAGGTATGAAAAACCTTTTATCATAACAGTTTACACGCATATTGAATATGCTACGTTTTTGAAAATTATACATACACAGAAGTTATAAGAGGCCATAGATAGTATGTTAAGGTGGAGGCTTTTTTGGTTTTTGTTTTAGTAGAGTTGTTGAGACATTTAAACCAAAATAAGTTTAAGAGACCAATATTCTTTTCCACCCTGCGTTTAAGTGAATTTAAGTGAACAGTTACATCACTGTTCCAGAGCACCTGCTAATCATGATGGCTAATTCTGATCTCCCTCCTCAAGCAGGCAGCATGCTTTGGGAGGTAACTTGTAGGAAGAAGCTTGGACAAAGAACTTGTTATTTTACACAGAAGTATGTGGGCACCAATGTTTTTCCCAGACTTTGATGCTAAGAATGAAGATGTTAACATTATTAGATGTTGCCTTCTCAAAGGTCTCTCCTGTCCCTGTACAAAAGCAAAAGTTATAGATGTGGGGTTCTAAATCACCCACACGACTCAGTGTCTTTGCCACCTGACCAATGTTGTGAATCTGGGCAAGTTTCCTAACCTAAGTCTCAGTTTCCTCATCTGTAAAATGGGGATGATAACATCTACCTCAAACAGTTGTTGTTTAGATGAAACGAGACAATATATATGAAACATCTGGTATAGTGTCTAGCTTCTAGAAAGGGCCCCACAAGTGGTAGCTGTTATCATTATTTTTGTTAATTATAGTTATGGTCTTTCCAGGAAGTGTTTCTGCACTGCCAGGTCCTTGTCTGTGGAAGGCTGGACGAGCATTCTCGCTGTGCTCAGGGCTGCCACCGGCGAATGCGTCGTGAGGCAGTAGAGGGAGAGGATACAGCTGGTTTGCAGAGCCAGATGCTGACTGGCGGCCCGATCAGCATCGACTGGGAGGACTAGGACCACCCAACACCCGAGTGCTGGCTTTGGGCCACCCACCTCTTTGGAACTTCTCCCTACGCCCTCTGAGAGCACCAATCAACACCCTAAAACATGGCGCTTCTTTGAACCTTATACTGTGGGTTTAGACAGACTCCCGGAACTGACTCATTCTGACTCCGGCTGCTGGGTCAGGAAAGGCCACCTCACTGCTGACTGATCCAACCCATGGGCTTCATCTTCCCAACGTCGAAAGCTATGCTGTCCCTGCAAGAAAGCAGCTCACCCTGCTCCCCACATTTCCTTCCTACAATAAAACACCTCGTGTAGGATGCAATAGGACCACTAAAATCAAAAGTCGGGCATGCTCTTCTGAAATATAAACTTAAAACAAATTAAATGGTTGCTTGAAATTATGACCTAAATACCCAGCAACTCCTTAAATATGTAAATAATAATCATTCCCTGAAATTTCAACTCAAACGCAGAGTAGTTATAGGAGATTCGGAAGTTTATCAGTATAAGTGTGTACTAAAAAATATTATTTGATTTTCCTCTTGCACAGTGTTTTCTTTTGATATTTTTATATTACGTGAAATGTTTTCAATTAATAAATATTAATAAATGTATCGACATGCATTTAAGTGGTTCAATGACTGAACTGTAGACAAAATTAAAATTTGGTACCATATGTCCTGTTATTTGGCATTCTAAGCCCTCAGACTGATATGGCAATTAAAAAGTGTAAATTATACCATGCTCTATTTTGTAGGTAGGTGCTTAATACAGTTTATTAAAGTAAATATTATAAATCACAGAGATAAATTTTATATGCAATGAAATCCAATTTCTTAATATGCCAATTATTTTTATGGCTTTACATAAGATCAGGAAACAGTTTTTCTTCTTTTTCTTTTTTGAAATGGCTATAATCAACAGTTCTTAATGCAACCAGTAAAATTAACAAACGGAAGTGAAAGGACAGAATGACCTAGATCAAGAATTGGCCAGCTTTTTTTGTCAAGAGCCAAATGGTAAACATTTTAGGCTTTCTGGCTATACAGTCTGTCACAACTGTTCAACTCTGAGGTTGTAGCACAGGAGTGACCGTAAACAAATGAGAATATGGTTGTGTTCCAATAAAACGCCACAGAAGCAGTGTTAGACCTGATTTGGCCCATGAGTTTCATTTGCTGATCCCTGATCTTAGTGGACCTCAGTCCTCCCAGTGCATCAAGATCAGGTGGGGAGCACTCATAAAACACCTACAGGTAGATACCACCCCCAGAGGGTTTCTGCTTTTTAATACTCCTTTGGTGATTCTAATCTGCAGTCAGTATTGAGAACCAGAGTTTAGCAACTGACCATTTGTGTGTCCTCAGATTTCAGGGACTTCTCCTAGCTATCTTCAGTGGCAATTTTTACGAAATGCTTCTCAGATCCTACCATGACACTAACACCACTTAGTAACTGGGAATATCAACAGGAATAATTCACTGAAGGAAAAAAATGGAACCTCAGAGACCTAACTCCATCTGACCTCCACCTCCACTGGTCTTCACCAAGTAAGTCTCTGACCTTTCCCACTTGTTCTTATCTCTCCAGCACCAGTGGGAATGATTGTTATCATTGGTGGAACTTACCAGGTTGGGTTCTGTTCTCTTCTAAGTGAAATGGAAGCACATTGGTGATAATGGAATTCATTCATCTCTTTTCATATTTCCTAAAAAGAACACTTTATTAAATGTGAGATGCTTACTGGCAACTGAAACATGAATCAGAGGAAAGTCCTTGCCTCCCAAATGGTTGGATGCTGCAAAATTTCCCTTATGAATATAATTACCAAGTCCGAGAATCCCAATATTTTAGTCTTTATTTTAGTCTTTAAACTAAGAACTGAATTGCCAGGCAAATGTTTCTTGGTTGGGGAGACCATTGGTAAAATAAAGAGTAGTCTTCAAATCACTCCATGTCTTTTTTCCAGTTCTCCCAAAGGATGGGACTCATGTTTCAGCTGTAGAACAATATTTCCTTTCTCTTGCTTTGTGTTATCCAAACATTTGGAAGCAAGGATGAGACACATCTGCCATACTACCATCTCTGAGACTGACAGCTGTGGCATCACTCAAAACCAGGAAGGGATCACCTCTTTCTCATAACTCTTCTTTCTCCTCTTCTGCACAGATGCAGGCTGCCCTTTGGCTATTCATGAAAGGTCGGCAGCCCAAGGTCCATACGGTATTGAACACAGTATCAGCCAGAGAATCACAGGCTACTTGAAAAGGATGAAGAGGAAAAAAAAAAAAGAAAAGAAAAAAATGAAGAGAAATAAAAGGTTAATGTACAAGACTATCCCAAGTAGTTTGAGTAATTTTAAAAACGAATGCAATTCCAAGCATGACATGATACCCAGAGGAAAATAAAAGCAGTGATCCAAATACATAATTAAAAAGAACATACACTTAAGAGAAACTTAATAAGCTTCCATCCAATCTAATTAAGCAGAATATACTTTGAGGTGCCCTTCTTTTATGGGCCTCTAGGTCAAAATCACATTTAGCAATCAGAATCTCCTATATCACTATGCACACTCCATGGAAAATCTACCATTTTTGCAGAATACTCCCTCAGATAACTGTACTATGTTTTCTGTAGCTTTCTCTGTTTAAGTGTGGGATGAATAACAATTCACTCATTAAGAAAAACATATGTGTTGGTCAGCCATTCTGTTAGCCATCAGGGATGCAAAGACCAAAGAGATCCCAACTAAAGTACTCACAGTTTGGACAAAGAGGTCGACAGGATGGACAGGTAAACTAATGGTTACACTACACTGTGATGGAAGTAATATCATGGTGGTATGGGAACCCACACAAGAAAAGTCTATCCCTTTGGGGTAAAGGTTATTATGAAAGGCATCTCAGAACACCTTCCATTAGAATTTTGATAAGAATTGTATTGAATCTGTAGATTGTTTTGGGTAGTATGACCCTTTTCAATGCACAAGTCTTTCACCTCCTTGGTCAAATTAATTCCTGGGTATTTTATTCTCGATGATGCAATTGTAAATGATAATTTTTCTTAAATCATCTTTCTGATAATTCATTATTAGTGTATAGAAATGAAATTGATTTTTGTATATTGACTTTGCATCCTGTGACTTTACTGAATTTATTAGTTCTAATAGGTTTATGTTTTTCTTTGTGGAGACTTTAGGGTTTTCCATGTATGATATCATGTCATCTGCAAATAGTGGTAGTTTTACATCTTTGATTCCAATTTGGATGTCTTTTATTTCTTCTTTTTGCCTAATTGCTCTGGTTAGAACTTCCAATACTATGTTAAATAAAAGTGGCGAAAGTTGGCATCCTTGTCTTGTTCCTGATCTTAGAGAAACAGCTTTCAGCTTTTCTCCATTGAGTATGATGTTAGCTGTGCGCTTGTCACATATGGCCTCTATTATGTTGAGGTATGTTCCCTTTATACCTACTGTGTTGAGAGGTTTTTTTCACAAATGAATGTTGAATTTTGTTAATGCTTTTTCTGCATCTATTGAGAGGATCATACAATATTTATCCTTCATTTTGTTAATGTGCTGTATCGCATTGTCTGATTTGCCGATGTTGAACAATTCTTGCTTCCCTTGAATAAAGCCCACTTGATCATGATGTATGATCCTTTTAATATTATTGAATTGAATTAGGTTTTCTAATATTCTGTTGAGGATTTTTGCGTCTATATTCATCAGAAATTTATCTGTAGTATTTTTTTCTTATGGCGTCCTTGTCTAGTTTTGGTATCAAAATAATACTGGCCTCATAAAGTAAGTTTGGAAGTGCTCACTTCTCTTCAATTTTTGGAAGAATTTGAGGATTGGTGTTAATTCTTCCTTAAATGTTGAAGTCATTTGAATGGATGCTTAATTCTTCTTGAAATGTTGAAACCATTTAAATGGATGATTAATTTCTCTTTAAATGTTGAAGACACTTAGTCCATTTTGGGGTGCCTGGGTGGCTCAGTCAGTTAAGCATCTAACTCTTGATTTCAGCTCAGGTCATGATCTCATGGTTGTGAGATCAAGCCCTGTGTTGGGCTCTGTGCTGAGCATGGAGCCTGCTTGGAATTCTCTCTCTCTCTCTCTCTCTCTCTCTCTCTCTCTCTCTCTCTTCCTCTGCCCCTCTCCCCCACTTGTATTCTTTCTCAAAAAAAAGTTGAAAAATAAAAGTCTATCTTGCTCTGGACTTTCATTTGTTGAGAGATCTTTGCTGATTCTATCACTTTACTAATAATCAGTCTGTTCAGATTCTATTTTTCATTATTCAGTTTCAGTAAGAACTGAATGTTCCTAGGAACTACATGTTTCTAGGAATTTACCCATTTCTCCTCAGTTGTCCAATTTATTAGCATATAATTATTCATAGTAGTCTTTTGTGATCCTTTGTATTTCTGTGGTATCAGTTGTAATGTCTCCTCTTCTATTTCTGATTTTATTTATTTGAGTCCTCTCAAATTAGCTTTTAATTAGTCTAGCTACAGGTTTGTCTATTTTCTTCATCTTTTAAAAAAACAAAACAAAACAGCTCCTAGTTTCATTTATCTTTTCTATTGTTATTTTAGTCTTAGTTTCATTTATTTCTGCTCTGATCTTTGTTATTCACTTTCTTCTACTAACTTTGGGCTCTGATGTTTTTCTTTTTCTAGTTCCTTGAGGTGTAAAGTTGAGCTATGTATTCAAGATCTTTTTGATGTAGGCATTTATTGCTATGAATTTCCCTCTTAGAACTGCTTTTGCTGCATCTCATAAGTTTAGTTTGTTGTATTTCCATTTTCATTTGTCTCAATGTTTCTTTATTTCTCTCTTGATTTCTTCTTCAACCCATTGGTTGTTTAGTACCATTTGTTTATTTGCTCTTGACATTGCTCTCAACACTTCTATTCAATATTGTACTAGAACCCCTAGACAGGACAATTGGCAAGAGGAATATGTAAAAGGTATCCAAATTGGAAAGGAAGATGATATGTAAATGGCATTATCTTATGTATAGAAAAGCCCAAGGAATCCACTAAAATCTATTAAAATTAATAAGTGAGTTCAGCAAGGTTGCAGGATAATAGATCAGTATACATAATCAGTTTATTTCTGTACATTATCAATGAATAATCTGAAAATAAAATTAAGATAATACTTTCATTTATAATAACAAAAAAACAAATAAAGTACTTAATTTAAACAAAAGAAGTGTAAGACTTGTGTTCTGTAAATTAGAAGACACTGTGAAAGAAATTAAAGACAATCCAAATAAATGGAAAGACATTCATGTTCATTGATCAGGAAACATAATTTTGTTAGATGGTAACATGTCTCAAATTGATCTCCGGATTTAGCAAAAGCTGTACCAAATTTCTAACTGCCATTTCTTGCAGAAATTGACAAGCTGAACCTAAAATTCATAAGAAAATTCAAGGGACCTAGAATATCCAAAACAATCTTGAGAAAGAAGAACAAAGTTGAAGATTGCTTCCTGATTTCAAAGTTTACTACAAAACCATAATAATAAATGCCATGTGCCACTGGCATAGATCAATGAAATAGAATTGAAAATCTAGAAATAAATACTGCATTTCTGTTCAACTGATTTTTGATAAGGGTGCAAAAACAACTGAGTATGAGAAACGTCTTTCAACAATATGCAGGAACATTTGTATATCCACATACAAAAGAATGAAGTTGGATCTCTTTCTTACATCATACACAAAAATTAACTAAAAGTGGATCATAGACCTAAGTGTATAAGCTAAAACAAAGCTCTTAGAAGAAAACATAGGAGCAAATCTTTGTGACCTTGGATAAAGCAAAGGCTTCTTACATATGACACCAAAAGTACAAGCAACAAAAGGAAAAAAATAGATAAGTTGGACTTTATTGAAATGTAAAACATCTGCTTTCCAAATAATTTCATCAAGAAAGTGAAAAAAAAACCCACAAAATGAGAGAAAATATTAGTGGAGCATGTATCTGATAAGGGACTTGTGTCCAGAATATATAAAGAATACTCACAACTCAATAATAAAAAGATAAGTAACCCAATTTAAAAAGAGGTAAAGGATCTGATTAAACATTTCTCCAAGGCAGATATTTAATGTCCAACTAGCACATAAAAATATAATCAACATTATTAGCAATCAGGGAAATGTAAATCAAAACCACAATGTGATACCATTTCACATTCTCTAAGATCTATAATCAAAAGGACAGATAATAACAAGGGTTGATAAGGATGTAGAGAAATTGGAACCTTAATACATTGCTGGTGAGAATGTGAAATGGTGTAGCTATTTTGGAAAACAGTTTGTCATAAAATTACCATATAACCCAGAATCCCTCCCCCCCCACTCAGATATATACCCAAGAGAAATGAAAAGATATGTCTCCACAAAAACTTATATATCAATGTTCATACCAGAATTATTCATAATAGCCAAAGGTTAGAAACAACCCAAATGTCCTTCATTTGATGAATGGATAAAGAAAATACATTATATCCATATAATGAATGGACTATAACTTAGCAATAAAAAGGAACAAAATACTGATACACGCTACAACACAGATAAACTTTGCTAAGTTAAAAATGTCTGTCACAAAAGACCACATATTTTATGATTCCATTTATATGAAATGTCCAGAACAGACAAATCAATAGAGGTAGAAAGCAGATTCATGGTTGCCAAAGGCCAGGAAAGGAAAAGAGAGAGGGATTGTTCATGGCTATGGGGATTCCTTTTGGTGTGGTCAGAATGTTCTAGAATTGATTATGGGCCTGATTGCATAGCTTTGTGAACATATTTTAAAAGCATTTAAATGGTTGAATTGTATAGTATGTGAATTACATATCAATAAAGCTATTTCAACAACAACAAAAAATGATCAGAGTGTTCCAAGCAGAGGGAACTGCAGAGGCAGAAAAATATGGTTCATCAACCCAAGTAGTTTGGAATGGTAGAAGTCAGGAGAGAAATCAGAAATAAGCAAAATAATGCTGGAGAGGTAGGGTAGCGCTGGATCAGGAAAGGCTATGTATATCATACTAAGGAGTTTGGATTTATTCCTAAGGAAGAGGAACCAATTGAAGGGCTTACACAGAGGGTGGAAATGACTGGATTTATATGGTACAAAAATGTGTCTGGTCCCTATGAGGAAAATAGATTGGATGGGATCCAGAGGTTAGATTAACTTGCAGTAACCAGGCAAGTGGTATATCAAAGAGATATTTAGGAGAAAAAATCAATAGGACATTGCTTAGAG